CGATCCATTGCTGCTGTTCAGGCGTGCGCGGCGTGTTCCGTGCCTTGACAGCAACCAAATGCTCCTGGTGTAGCACGGGGGGTTGGAAGGGATGAACAGGTAAGGGAGGTAAGATTAGGAGGTCCGTCACGTGCCATTCAGATGACGATGGTGCTGAAGGCGCGCAGCTGGCATGTTTGCTCACCTTTGCAGCATAGCAGATGCTGCACGGCATCCGCGATCCATGCGAGAGTGTGCAACTGATCTTGCCGCTCTCGGGGTAGTCGCACACCCAGGCGTACAGCAGTGGCCGCACTGTTTGCCAATCGCCGAAAGGGTCCTTGAGACGGAAGCCGCTGCGAGGAACGGGTAGAGTGGGAACAACAACAGCCAGGACGACTCCGTGCATCAGCGAGGAGGGGCAAAGGGTAATGCAACATACAAAAACGCTGCGCACGTTATGCTCTTGCTACGGTTGATGACATAGCATGACGGAAATCGAGTACGGACCTGTCCATGCCATCAAGAAGCGGCTGCAGCACGGTGATGACGCATCGCTGGAAGAGCATCACCTTCTCGACGGCAGTCATTGCAGAAGGGGGGATAGGAAGGAGAGCAAGTAGCGTGTGCCCGGCTTTCCCCCATCGCTTGGCCTGGGAGATGTTGGCAAGCGTCATCATGAGCGGCCACGCCTTCTTCCGGCCGTTGTTGCTCATGTGCGTCACATCCGAATACAGGATGATACCCCCCACGACTTCGGACCATCCGAAGTGTTCCTGCATTGCACGACAAAGACGGAAACAACACACGGTCAAACACCATCAAGGTAAAGTGTCGCCAGGCGGATTGAGCCTGATACAAAAAACTCCCCACGAAAATGACGCACTGAAGATGCTGCCTACACATCAGCGCATGGTTGGGGGCATGCGCACGCGTGTGGTTTTGGGTGGCAGCGGGGTATTTACATACCTGGGCATCGTTCCACCACGTTCCTGTTTCTGGCGTGGTATAGCGACGCTCGCCTGTGTCAGGGTCCTCATCAACACGAGCCTTGAGCTTGAAGCCGGGTGCGTTGTTGGTGTGCCCAAACAGTTCAGCAAACGCCTGGAGTGCGGGATCAAGAGCGGGAGAGAACCAAACCCTGGTTTAGTGGCGGGAGCGTTTCACGGGCCAGATCGCACACATGCCTAACAAAGGCAACATTCCCAACAAGCTCCACAAGGATGCGGAATCTGCAGTTCGCAGCCACGGTTCCAGAGTCGGCTTACCTGCGCGGAGTTCTGGAAGAGGAGGCGCTGTGGCGGATGACCCTCAATCTCGAAGGTCGCCACTGACCATCCGCGATTGAGCCCTACCAAGCGCTCCATCTCGAACCGCTAAAGATCCTTGCAGTTCCGGATCTCTGAGATCACAAGAGGCGCAAGGCCGGGCTCCACCACGAGCTGAAGCAGGCCATTGATGTCGATCTCCGCCATGCCCATTCCGCCATTTACGCGCCTCACGAAATGCAGCAGCTTCAACGCAATCGGACTGAGGGGCGTCGCATTGCTCTCCCCGGAAATGATTGTCGGCGGTGCCGCGTGACTCACTCCAGGGCGGCACCCCTGATGCTCACTCGTGTCATCTGCAGGTGTTTCTGGTGACGGTTGATGCTCAGATTCAGGAGCCCCCACGTTCACAGCCGAGGGTGTTGCGTCCTCGTCAGCTACCGGGACGCGAGGAGGACCATTCACACCGTCGGTGTTGGACGCGTTAGACGCGGTAGGGGAAGCGGGAGCAGCGGGAGCGTCCGACAGAATGTCGTGGACGAATAGCAGTGCGTGTAGACCGGCTGACGGTGCAGATCGCGAGGGCCTTGCCACGGCGGAAAGGCCTTGACAAGGGGTCCGCCGTGACTTATGACCGCCATAAACTTGGGCGTTGGGGAACCATCTGTTGCAGAACTCGCAAACGACGCCAGGCAAGGAGCCCATGCTTTACGGATCTGTCTAAGTGTTGAGAAATGGCCTGTGAAGCAACTAGCGTCGTGGGAAGCTTGAGAAGGCATTAAGTACACCGTTCAAGAAGGCTGTTAATGCAACCAGGTCATCGCCAAACCGCGCTTTGTCGAAGGCGGCTTGTATCACTGCACGACTGGCACTTGAGCGGGCCGCTTAACGATGTTTGGGACTGGCAAACGATGTTCGAGCCGCGCGGTCGTGACAAGGCACGGTACAGACCGCTCACAGCACGGATCGTCTTCCCTACAAGGCGTGTCGCCCCCGTTTAGACAGACCACGTCGTGAGCAGCGGGAAATGCGCCTGATCTTAAGACGGTGGGTCGTGTGTGTGCGTTGCGAGCATGGTGAGAACGACGTGCCTGTGGATTCACGCACCCTTGGTGCATGAGAGTCGAGTGGGATGAGGAAGAGCGGGAAGAGATCCGTTTGGATCTGTGATTCAGTCGCGAAGCGTTATACGGGGGAAATCGCGCACACGTAAGTGAGCGCATAGTGTTGCGCTTGACCATAGCCCAAATACA